TGTATATAGAAATTTATATATAAATGTCAAATTTTACGGCGAACACCCAAAATTTCCGGGGATTCTTTTCTGTGTGTAGAAACATAGTAAACATTGCAATGGTCGTTTATTTTGTATTGTCAAAACATTTTCATCGGTCGAGATATCTTCAATTGAAAATGTCACACTTAATTGAAATTGCACTTGATCACGTGTAATCACATTAGTTTGCTTTGTGTTACACATAAATATATTACCGGAACAACAAGAAGACAGGCAATGACATCTTTAAACCAACTCATTGAATCATCGAATTTTTCGGCAACTTTTTTAAATCGTGTATGGCTTGAGTTGAATATAATCAACTTTACGGCGACACTAGCAGCTTCTCTGCACACATATCGTAAAAGAGTGTTAAAAAAGCATAGTATTTTGGCAAATATATTATGGCACTATCGCTATGGTGTTACATCTCAAAAGACTGCCTCTGGAACAATGTTTGGACTCAAACCAATCAATTCAAACAATTTATTAAAGCAATTATTATTGAATAATAACAAAAAATCTATATTTGCATGTTGGAAATTTAAAAAATCACTGACACTGAAACCGCACGCAGCAAAGCATGGGGTTAATGGACAAAACAGTTACAACTTGTAACTCACAAGTCTTACATAGAGGATTGTATAAACGTTCTACAAGGCTACAAACACTTATAAAACATTATTTATAGCACATGCTTTGCTTCAAAATGCACAAAACTAATGAAATAAGTCTAATAAAATCGTCGCCGTTCGAGTTGTTTTCTGATGATGTCCAAGTTGCTGCGTTTGTTCCAAATCGATTGCTGCGTAATCCATGCAATGTCGTATTTGAACAAAATTCATTGCGAATCAAGTCAATAGAAATTGTTCTAATCTTTCTTATTCCTAATTAAAAACGCACGAAAGAATGAATTTTTAAATAAATAGAATTCAAAGAAGTCTTACAAATTTCAAAGGCGGGATACAAAATTCATTGTGAATTTAAAACCAAAAATTCAAACAATACATGCACTTGATCTTCAACGATGGATACCAAACAATAAACTTTATTATTTCAAATCGAAATTCGACATTGAATGTCCAATAATCAACGGTCGCGACAGAATGTCGGTACCAATGCAATTTAACAAATCCACCTACCACTATAATTTCACACCATAATAACGCATTTAAACAATTTGGCAGAATGAATTGCTCACGTTATCTAAAAAAACTAAGTGGAAAAACTGTTCAAAATTCATTGTAGTAAATATTAACGAAAAGCAAGTTTTTTAAATGCATGAAATTATTTTATTTTTGTATTGAAAATTTGATGATAAGATATTTTTATTAAACGAAATGATTTCAATTGCGATTTAAATTTTACAAAACTGTTCTACTCAATCGTTTTTTTTTTTCAAAGGGAGAAAACTTCGAAACGATTTGATACAGAAATCGTTCTCTTCGTTATTATTCGCACATGAAAACGTCATTTAGATCATGCAAATGCCCTGCGTGTGTTTTGTTTTGCTTAAATCGACGTCAAATATAATATGGATGTCAGTTGTACAACCTGAATCATGATTTTGCGCAAATTTTCATTAGAGAAAAAAGCCTGGTAAGAGAATAACATTGTATGGATCTGTCAATTTAAACAGAGCGTATTAGTATCTGGTTTTTATGCATGTAGAGTTTAGGGGCTAGAAGAAGAAGAAGAAGAACTGGAAGAAGAGCTCGAGGATGAGCTTGAAGAGCATTTATGGTGCGTAGAGTCATCATGATGTTCGTGTTTATGGTGTTTGGGTTGCCTATGATGTTTAGGGTGGTCATGCGTAGGATTTTCAGATTGCTGAGGAGAAACATTCTCATATTTTTCGCAATCTTTTTCTGAAATACAAACTCCATCCTTCCTGTAGAAATCAGGTTTGCAAGTACAGTTTGGACTACCACAGCCAGCTTTGCAGACTTTTCTGATCTCTCTTCGTTCACAAGTCAAGTCATTACATACGTTTTTACCACACGGATTGAGATATTCATTTAAACCGGGACCTACCGATGATCAAAGTCCAATTGAATGAGTGAAATTTGAATCAAGATGATCTTGTACATACATATGTTTACACATTTCCCTTTCTTGTTTCGACAAGTGCCATCAATACAACGACAAGCAGCAAATTTTCCACTACAATCTGGTTTGCAAACTGGTCCATTGGGGTCGGCATCACAATCCTTTTCCGTGCAAAAGCTTCTTCCACACTTATCATATATCTCGTTCTCTTTGCATTTGGGACCTAATTCAACAAAACAAATCTAATGTAAACGCAAACTAACTTTGAAATGGAAATAATACTTACATTGACGCTTAGTAACACATTCTCCTTGTTTATTACGATAAAATTCATCTTTGCATCGGCATCCGCCAGCCGTGTCACAAAAATCGCATCCTGGAGCATCATCTGGTGTACCACAGAATTTTTCTGTACATGGATTACCTCCGCAAGGATCATACACTTCATTTTTCTTCTTGCATTTTCTCTTTGGACCTAGTGAGATGAAGAGACAAATGATTGAATGATACGCTTAACAAGTGGATTGATATTTTCATGCGTACAATCACGTTCATGAACACATTTTCCCGTTTTATCATCACGATAATAGTTGGCTTTGCAGCGACAGCCAGGATTAACTTTTTTGCAACTTTTTTTCACTGGACAGTGAGTTTTTTTCACAAATCGATTATCACATGTCAACGTATTGCATTCGTCTAGTCCACATTCGTCGAACACTTCATTTTCGCCTGGGCACTTGATTTTCGGGCCTGTTTGAAATAATGAATGAGCAATGAGCATACCAAAGGTGTTTCTTAGTTTAATGATCAGCTCATACTTACATTTACGTTTTGGAATACAGTTACCGTGTTTATCCCTCAAATATCCTTCCTTACAAACACATCCTCCCTGTGTGTTGCAAACACATTTATACATAATATACCAATTTTCGCATGTTTTATCAACGCACGAACTATTTCCACACGATCCCCATACTTCGTGTTTGCCTTTGCAGGGTGAAGGACCTAAACAATTCAAATAAACATGGTCAAACATAGAATTCCGAATGGTTTGAATTGAGAGACACCAATAATTACATTTTCCTAGTGGAACGCAGACTCGATTTTTGTTTCGGCGATATCCATCTTTACATCGACATCCGCCAGGTATTTTGCAAAGCTTATTACATGCTCTTGGTGGTTTACCTAGATCGCTGCATGATGGATCGGTGCATGCATTCGGAGCGCATTGACTGTATACTTGATTTACTCCTGGGCATGGTGATGGACCTATAACGATGTAAACAAAAAAAATGGGGAAAAACGTTCATATTTGATCTATGGCATTTAATCTGTAATATTGAGTGATGCTTACAATCTTCAATCGGAACACAATTTCCGTAGTCATCGCGTGCGTAACCGCTTGCACATACACATGCCCCAGGTTCACAAACGTCCGCACAATACACATCTATGCCAATATTACTACACTTCGGATCACTGCAACCATTCGATCCGCATTGATTCCACACTTGATTTTTGCCTTTACACACTCTTTCACCTGAAAAATTCAAACAAATATTCCAGAAACAAAATATTATTTGAACTTTAAATGAACTGAAATGAACCGAAACACAATTTAACATTCATCTCCTTGAATGCAAACAGGCATCAGGAGAAAAATAAAGAAAAAAATGCGAAAAAATATTCAATTGTAATTTTGTATTATTCTTACATTCTTCTGGTGGAACACAGATTCCTTGGTTGTTTCGGTAAAATCCAGTTTTACATCGGCATCCTCCAGGTGTAAGGCAAACCGTAGCACATGATTTTGGCTCTTCATCCAGATCGCTACAGGATGGATCAGTGCATACATTTGGAGCGCATTGATCATAAACTTCATTTACTCCTGGGCAAGGTGATGGACCTATTAAGGCATGAACAACGAAGAAAAGCTCGAATTACATCAACTGTATCCAAACTGTAGTATTGATAGATGCTTACAGTCTTCAATCGGAACACAATTTCCGTAGTCATCGCGTGCGTAACCGCTTGCACATACACATGCTCCGGGGTCACAAACGTCCGCACAATACACATCTATGCCAATATTACTACACTTCGGATCACTGCAATCATTCGATCCGCATTGATTCCACACTTGATTTTCAGCTGGACATTTTTCTGGACCTGAGCAATTCACGTAAATATAATGAAAAAAAGAATTTAGACTTTAAATGAACTGAAAAGATTCGAAACACAAATTAACATTCATCTCCTGAAATGCAAACACCATCTATGTTAAGAAAGAATCCATATAGACAATGACATCCTGGATTCTTTGGATCGCAGCCAGGTTTGCAATATTTGGCTTCCTCTTTGCGATCACACGTCAAATTGGTACAAGCAGACACTCCACATTCATCCCAAAATTGATTTAAACCACAACCTGCTCCCCAAAACGTCGTAGATAATTTCAAGAAAAAAAAAACTCATGGAATAAGCGGCGATCAATCCAATATACACACACAAATGACCAAATATATTTATTTTGACTATTTTCGTGGTCAAAATGCATAAAGATGTCATGAATGTTGTGTATTCTGCGGTATGTACTTACAATCTGAGCGTGGTACACAGTTGCCATACGCATCCCAAAAATGATCATCCATACAACGACATCCAGTATATGTTTTGTCGCATGGCATTTTACACGCAATTTGATCATCTTTTTCGAGACATGTCTTATTATTGCACGGGGTTATTCTGCAATATTCATATACTTGATTCGGGCCACATTGTGGTTCATCATTTTCATATTGAGTTGCACCATCTTCTGCCAATGTTTCGTCACAATCAACTGAATGAATTTCAAAATGAAATGATTAAAACTTTAGAAGAAGTTAAGAATAAACCATTGGATAATGATGTACCATTTGTTACGAAGAAACCTGCTAGCATGGCAAGAATCACAAAAAAATATCTCCGATTTTTTTCTACCATTTTTTTTTAGCCCGTAACAGTCACTTGGAAGCAAAATCAGAGACTAATCGTATGTACATGAGCTAGCAGATCTTATAGAAATCACTAAAGGAGTGATTGAAAATGCAATAATCGAAATATTTAAATGTATTCTTTTATTTTTAATGCAATCCCATCTACGAACGCATTTATTTTGCATCTGTTTACGCGTAGAAATTGACTAAGCGCGAATGGTGGATTTTAAAAATACATGCATGATCACACAAAATCGGCCCATGTCAATATCATTCGATCGAAACGCTCGAAAATAAATGGGGGTCTCGTGAATATGATCACCTAGTAACAGGCATTTTCAACGCTGAACTGATAACCATTTACATCTCACAATAACAGAATACGTTGCACTTATCTTGTGAAATTGGTGCTATTTTCATTATTTTTCACTGGAATTTGCCGTATTTCACAAACCATTAATTAATCATGCACAGAATTATTACACACAAAAAATGAAGCAGCGCGTATATCCACCTTGAATATTCATTGAACCGTATCATATGATCAGATTTCTCTTTCACACTGAACTCGGAAGAATCCAGAGAAAAATGATCTCTTTCAAACATTCGCAATTTATTCGCACCGTGACTGGTGCAAAACACTTGTGCTAACAAATTGAATTTATTTCTACTTAAAGGCCATTCGGAGGTTCACTTTTCGGTCGCTTGATTGCGAAATACTTCTGTTGGTACAAATGCGACGTTCCCAATGATCGATCGAGTTGAGAAATTTGTTTTGTATCCACAATTCCACTGAATAACAGATTATATTGTTGTGTCACGCAGCTGCCGATAAATGCAATAACCTTTATTTTTGCTCATCACATATACAGGGACCCGTTGCACCGTACAGCTACAATAATTGTAAACTTGTATATTGTAAAATTGATTTACAATTTTACAGGTACCTGTAAATCTTATTTAAAAGTTAACAATTTCTTGTAAAACGCTAGTTTTCAAGCATTCGCAACGAAAAATAGTTTTTACTTGATAAAATTCTTTTTATAAAGTCAATTCGTGAGGCAAAAGGTAAATTATTCATTTAAAAATTATAATTTGAAGAGCAGAGGTCAAAAAGTGAAAAAAGTACAAAAACCACCACAAAGTAGGTAAACCTCCCTCCCTAACCCAGGATCAATTGCATTTTTGGATTCCTCGTCGAAAATTAGCTATGCCTTCCGAACATCAGTTTTTGATAAAACAACTCACTGTGGCTCAAATCATCTCTGAACGTGTACTGGGAAAAATTGATTGATTTTTTGCTTTTTTCAGTTTTTCTCCCATAACTTGTACCTCATAAGCGATGGAGCAGATTTTTGTTCAGCAAAGTTTTAGATCTCGCTGAAATCTACAATTTTGCCGCAGACAGTCATCACTTTTCTCCTATCAGTAAGGAGATAACAGCGATAATTGATAAAAGCTATCAAGGCCATTATCTCCTTACTGATAAGGGATAGGTAATGACTATCTGCGACAAAATTGTAGATTTCAACGAGATCTAAAACTTTGCTGAATAAAAATCTGCTCCATCGCTTATATGGTACGAGTTATGGGAGAAAAATCGAAAAAAAGCAAAAAATCCGTATAAATGTATAGAAAAATATCAATTTTTCCCACTGCACATTCAGAGATGATTTGAGCCGTAGTGAGAGGTTTTATCAAAAACTGATGTCCGGAAGGTATAACTCATTTTCGACGAGGAATCCAAAAATACAATTGATCTGGGGTTGGGTAGGGAGGTTTATCCACTTTGTGGTTGTTTTTGTACTTTTTTCACTTTTCGAGCTCTGCTCTTCAAATTGGGTCAACATGGGAGGCCAACACTATGTGCCAAAAAATTTATGGGACCAGGCGCAACTTTCGTGGGATTCCATGGCGAACTCGTGTTGGGTGTATACTCTAAATTCGCCTTCAAATGTTAAAAAATTACATCCCGAACACTTTCGATGCATTTTTCTCCGCTTAAAACTCAATTGGGCAAATATATCCCACGAAAGTTGCGCCTGGTCGCATAGATTTCATTGGCACATAGTATTGGCCTCCCATGTTTACCAGTTTGAAGAGCAGAGGTCAAAAAGTGAAAAGAGTACAAAAACCACCCCAAAGTTGGTAAACATAGTAATTATTTTATAATATTTAAATGAATAATTTACCTTTTGCCTCACGAATTGACTTTATAAAAAGAATTTTATCAAGTAAAAACTATTTTTCGTTGCAAATGCTTGAAAACTAGCGTTTTTCAAGAAATTGTTAACTTTTAAATCAGATTTACAGGTACTTGTAAAATTGTAAATCAATTTTACAATTTACAAGTTTACAATTATTGTAGCTGTACGGTGCAACAGGCTCCAGGTTGAATGAAAATATGCAAACAATTGTCAATTGAGTGGATGCAAACACTTTGTCGAAAACTGACCTTACTAGCCTAACAGGTAAAACAGTGTTGGCTGTTGTGCTTGCTTTGAAGAAAGACTCCTGGGATTTGATATTCTGGATGATAATTGTTGGTAAGTGAAGAGTAGTACGTTCAATTCTTGGATTTGAGAGTGTAACCCACCTACTTTTAACAATTTAAATTCTATTAGGTTTGTCATTGATCACATACACAACATGGTTAATCGGTCAAAGGGATATTGCAACTTTTTTGACCAGAAAAAACGCCATCTTACGTCGTGCCCGTAAATTATTTCACTGTACATTTAGATGGTAGAGCTTGAACAAAAGTTCGAAACTATGCTTAAACTTGGAAATAGATTGATAAACTTGATGAAATACATATATTTTATGGTCGTTGCAATACCCCTATGTAATCGTTATTCATCAGGTAAATCATCATAAAATTGTTTTCAATATTTTTCAAGTGTAAAACCGGTCTTCTGATGCCAGCTATATTTTGGTCCGTCGTCTATACAATATGTGTGATTGTTGACTTCGGACTTGCATGTGCTCGTGTCGAGGCATTTTTATGGGATGTTGCTTTTTGGCTCCCCTTCATGAAACTTAATTATACCGAGCGTATGGGTATAAATGCAGCTCTGTATGTCGTAAGAATCATCAAATGTGTCTATGATCTTGGTTAGTGTAAATCGTACGGAATTGTTATTATTATTCATTCTAATGATCGAAGAAAATATTCAGAAACGGATAAAAATTTATTTACAGTGTTAGGAGTGCTTTCAAACGTTGTGACGTACTCACATTTCACGCATACGAAGGAACTTGAACAGCAACGACATGCATTTATGACACAATTTCAGTAATTCTGGTCCATGAAGAAAGCAACTGTGGAATGAACTGTCAATTGTCACGTTTTATATTTCCTTTCAATAAAACTCGGTTCAAATTTGAATCGAATTTCAAATCGCAGTTCACATTATTATGTTTGCTCAGTTCGAATAGTCAAATTCTGTACACTTTCGAAAACGATTTGAGATCTGATTTTTGTATCAAATTCATTTTAAATTCGGTAAAATCTAAAAAAAAACTGAAATCGACATTGAAATAATTTGTAAATTGGAATCATCAATCAAGCAGAGAGTCTTCGTCATTCGGAATGGTTCGACCGATAATCAGAGAGTGCCTTTGCATGAGCCTAAGATCTACTGGAGCGTTATTGGGATGGTTTTAAGTTGTAATTAGCTTAATAAGTATAATTGTGTTGGCTGTTTTGCTTGCTAAAGACATAGACTACTGGGACGTGATATTCTGGATGGTTATTGATTGTGAGTAAAGAGTAGTACGTTGAGTTCTTGAGTATGGAAATATACCGAAACTATTTGGAGTTTTAACAATTTTATTACTATTAGGTTTGTTATTGGTCGTATACGCTACATGGTCACTCGGTATTTATCAGGTAAAGCCTCACCAGATTTTAAATGAACAAAGTACATTGAAAAGCTTTACTGTTGATATTTTGTTAAGATAAAACCGCACTTCTTATGCCAGCTATATTTTGGTCTGCCCTCTATACAATTTGTATGATTGTTGACTTGGCACTCGCATGTGCTGGTGTATGGGCATATTTGTGGGATGCTCAATTTTGGTTTCCGGAGGAAAGCGATTACCGCGTGATCAAAAAACTTGACAATATTCCCCACATCATAAGAATTATCGAATGTGTTTTCAACGTTGGTTTGTACCATTCATATTGATTCTTATTGAAAAACATTTTATTTTGAATTTATCAGCAAATATATATCTCATTTGCAGTTTTAGCTGGGATTGCAAATATTGTGACATACTCACTTCTAGCCTATACGAAGGAGCTTGAACAACAGCGGCAGCAGTTTATGACACAATTTTATTAATTCTCCACCAAGAAAGCGTCCATAGAATGTGTAAACATTCTAAAAATTCATATTTTTGATAAAACAAAAACTCTTACTCATTGAAGTCTCACATTTGAACTTACTGTAGAAAAGCGAATACATTATTATCTATAGCAAAAGTATACACTTAAAGGAATCTATAGAAAAACTAAATAAAATTAAAATTTGCATCATCTAATCCTTTATTATGGGACGAAAAAATCCAAATGTGTTTTCAAAAATCAAATATGATTTAGCTTCTATTTTTTTTTACACTTGTACATTTGCTTTGGGGTCTTTTCAACTCAAAAAGTAAAAAGTTTAAAGAGTAGTCATCCATTTTACAGTCTATTCAAACGCTTGCAAATATTTCTCATGAACGAACAAAAAAGTAAAAAAAATCAACAATTGTATCAAAAGACATTCTTGAGAAAGAAAGAAGAGCTTTCGGATAGTTCATCTTTAATAGCGGTGTTATTTGATAAACATAAATGATTGCATCAATATTGAAGATAATACAAACAGGGATTCTCAACAGACGTTGCGAAGTAGAAGTATATGAATATTCGCTAATCTGTCCGATAGTAACAGGCTGCTAACAAATATTCGCTTCGAAATTAAGAAAAAATGGGCTTATTTTTTCGTAAAATTGCATGGTTTGTCATGGTATTTGGTATCGCTGATGAGTTCCCTGTATGAACCGATCAAGGAGGCTAAAATACAGTTTTTGGATGAGTTTCTTAGTAGCGACCTAATCCAAGAAATGAAAAAGGACACCACACTATTCAATTATTCAAATATATATTCATTTCATTTTTCTTTATCTCTCACAAAACAAGACAACATTGGCTGCCTGTTATCTTGGTAAATTCGATAGTTTCACCGAAGACAACCAGAGTGATAGTGATAGCGGTGCATCAGTATTATCATCGGAGAGCGATCACAGTGACAACTACAGCGACTACAACGACGAGTGCGAATGAAGAGAGATGTTGATGATGGAAGACAGCAAGAAATATCAATTAAGATTAGTTTTAAGAGAAAAATACAAATGATAATACCATTATAGAACTTAGTTCTACGTCGTGACAGTGCCTGCTGAAAAGTCGTAATAGGCTATTCTTACAGCATAGGACGCACACAATTCGGCGAATCCGTTCGAAAGAAATGGAGTGCTTTGAATCGATCAAGGCGTTTTGAAGACATCAAATCTCAACCAAACATTCACGTTGATAGTGATGACGATCAATCTGACGAGGAAGATATTCTACTATAATTCAAATTTTATGAAACAATCAGATCAGATGGCGCACATGTTACCATATACATCAAAATTGAAACACTCAAGAAATATGTCGATCGATTTCTAGAATATTTCGCGCGTAAATTGGTTGAATTACCCGTCGAAATAACAGACAGATAACGTCTGCCCTATGAAAATAAATGCACACGTATTTGCAAACTTGGAATTTCTTTTATTGAAGAATGTTCAAGATTTGGTTTTCATTTTGCAGTATTATTGTACGTTAGGGAAAATATGCAAAAAATGTCAAAGCGGTTGCATTACTTTCAATCATCCATAGAATTGAGGCTGTGAGAATGAAAATGGCAATACAGGAATAAACATTCTGAAACGCATCAAGAAAAAAAATTCGCAAAAATGAATCATGAGTTCTGAATATGCAAAAGTGAAACATGAATTTACATGGGCAGCATAGGAGGTTCATGGTTCACTTTTGCGTATTTAAAACTCATGATTCACTTTTACGAATTTTTTTTTCTTGAAGCGCTTCAGAATGTTTATTCCTGTATTGCCATTTTCATTCTCACAGCCTCAATTTCTAATATTCTATTCGTTGAAAACCATTTTTTCGTTTAAATTGTTGCAACGTTGATAAGGAAGTGTTCAGTTTTCGAGAAATTGTTTTGAACATTGATTTTATTGCATACGAGAAATGCGTCCTCGATGAAAATGGATGTTCGCTTCACCGAACAGCCTCAAATACCCGTTTAAAGTCACTCATTCAAATGTAACAGTGTTAACAACTAATTTCATTAGAATTTTCAGATTTGAGCACAAAACTCATTTGAGTAATAAAAATGATTGAGTCAAATGATACTGAAATATGCTAAGTCGTCAAATATTCCGTTGTATTGAATAACACAGTACAGTATTCATACAAATACATCGACCACTAAGAGAATGTTGATGAATGTGTTTGATAGATCGCAAGTAGTATATGTTAGGTTCGGTTGTTGCGCAAGTCTGAGGTATTCCTGTGGATCGCTTTGAAAGAAATCTGACAATCATGAAATCAGTTTGAACTTGACAACCTGGTCGGTTGTAACGAACGCCTGGTTCATGCTTCACAATTATTGTTTTAGAAGTTTGTTAAGTTTTGAAATGTTAGTGTTCATATACGATTGGGTGACATGTTTTCGATTGAGTTGGTAATAAAAAGTGCTGTGTTTGCATTTCAGATTCAAACAAAAGAAATGGGTTTTCCTGTGTTGTCTTCTTTTTGCGGCCTTAGTTTAAGAACTGGCGGATTGATAATTGGCTATAGCCAATTTTTCTTATCAGCCATTATGATTAACTGTGCCTTCAACCTTTCCACGCAATCCATAGCATTTTCTGCATTTTTCGGTAGGTTCTTTTTGTTGTGGGAAAAAAATGTCCAAATTTTTCGTTTTAATCATTTCATTCGATTCTATTTTTCTTACATGTTACAGTTATATGTATGATAACCGGTCTTCCTTTCATCTTTGGAATTCTCTTGGTAAGTAGAAAATGCAGTTTTCAAATAGAAAAACTTTTTTGAATGAAGAATCAAAATGGATGATAGTTTTCTTCCTTTTGAGTCAAAACTTTCGAAAAACTGAATGGTCCTTTTTTGTTTTGGCGTCGAATAATAAGCCGAAAATCACATTTCTGAACATTTTTCACAGTTTTCATCCCTGAAATTAAATTACATCAATCTCACATGAATGTCTAATATATCATTTGTCAATAATCATCAATTCATCCATTCTTTACAGAATGAACCCGCATGCTTGCGACCAAACATTATTTGGGGGAAGATCGTGTTTGTGCTTGGTATTGTTTTGTGCCTTTGGTTTGCCGTATGGGATGTATTATTTGTAATTGGTATGGTTGCTGACCTCATACCAATGTATAAAATGGCTAATGTAATAATGTCAGTGCATATTGCGTGGCTAGTCTGTGCGATAGTTACAGGTAGGTTGTCAACAATAATTCGATTAAAAATGAAAAAAAAAGAATGTGCAAATATTTCGTAAAATTGCAGTATTGTCATGGTATTTGGTATCGCTGATGAGCTCCCTATATGAATCAGTCACGGACGTCGAATCTCACGAAAATGCTCACGTCGACAACGTTAATATTGACGATGATCAATTTGAAGAACAACATACTCTTTTAACATTCAAAATTTATGAAACAATCAAATCAGATGCTCAACATGTTACCAAATACATCAAAAACTCCTTTGAATCGCTTGAGAAATATTTCAATAGATTTCAAGAATATGTTGCGCGCAAATTGGCTGAATTCGTTGAATTACCCGTTGAAACAACAGAAACGCCAGATAACGTTTGCCATATAAAAATGGATGAACAAAATGAAGAAAAAAGAGCAAGAAATGAAAATGATTCATGTAATATAACAGTAGAAACGGATGCTGAAATCATAGCAACGAAACAAAACGATGTGGTCGAAAAGGAAACGGTTTGAAAACATTGCATCAAAACCTTAATCTCATTTCTTCCAATCGCTCGAAAATCAAATACCTAAAATCGTTGTCGAGAGCAATCACAATAAGATATGATTTTAATGCGGGCACAGATGTTTTCCCAAAACAATTCTGCACTAAAAAATATGATTGAATGAAATTCAAATCAAGCAAAGGAATTTGTTTTCGTTTTGTTTCACTTTTTTTTTTGTATCAAACACAATAGGTTTATAGCCATAATGTGCAAGTTGCTGCTTTGGACATTAACTTTGGATATTAAGGTAGTATATTAATCTACTTTCACTAAATGCACATGTTTCGCTAAAACGGAAGATTGTTACAGAGCAGATTCTGCGAAAAATGTGTATGCCACTGCGTCAATACATTACACGTTTGAATGAGTACAACGTTGTCGCTTCAATCGAAAGGTCACGCAAGCATCAGAAATGTTTCGTATTTGTTTACATTCAAACATTTCGGTTTAGCGTAAGTTTATGATGTGCCGGTAATGCGTTCGTTGATGCCTTCTAAGCTCAAACATCAGATGTGACAATGTTTATAAACCGAATTGTACGCCGGTAGAAATGACGTCAATATTACGCTATCATTTATTTTGATTTTGCTCTCAAGCGTTTAAGTTAAGCTCACATATTTCATTTCAACTTTGATGCAAAAGAATGCAAAATACGCAAACATTTCGATGACGTAAGTTTCGATGGAATCAAACAATTTCTATGAAACAAAGACTAAGAAAAATGAGCCAGTGGAAGAGAAGATTGGAGTAGAGAAGAAATAATTTGTTCAGAGGACAAAATCAATGATGATATTCCGAATGGAAGATTCCACTACCAAAAAGCAAATTTCGCATTCAGTATAAAACAGAGCTGAATGAAGCGGGAAGAAAGGATGTGGATACAAGACACCAAAACTTCAATCGGCTGACAATTTATTCACATTTCGTGGCAATAACATATCATACAGCTTACGCCTATACGTACAATGTGCTATCGCATTTACTTCACAACACATACGCATTTCGATTCTTCTGTATCGCACTCACACTCTGCGGTTTTTGAGTGAATTCGTGCTTGCGCTGCATAAATTTGTGCTGCGTCGTTTTTACTTTTCTGTATGAGTTTGCGTAAGTCGCGAACACAGTGAATGTGTTCAACATCGCTTGTGATGTTCATATTCGGAATGACTATACAAAAACAATTATTTTGAGCTGCTTTCGCCAGTTATTCGTACACAGTTGAGCTGTCTGCTGAGTCCATTGAACAGAGCATTTTGTGTGAGTCTTTATTTGATATATGTAATAATGGCTTATGCTTTAACCCATTGTGACCGAGTGTTTCGAAACTGAAACATTGTATTTTTTTGGTTTAAAAAAAAAACTGATCGATATGTTTTCGCATTTGAGCTAGTTTTTATATGTAGGGCTTCTTATAGATGCTCAAAATTACGTTAGCTGAAAAATCGAGAACAATCATCAAAACTGATAAGGAGGGAATTTCACAAAAATTGCTTTTTCATTGAAAAAATATGTTTTTCTTCACTTTTACGATTAATTGATTGAATTAGGTTGAGAAACAAACATACACTATGAGTCATAGTTTATGACCCTGTTTAACTGCCAATTTAGCGTACAGATCATGATGGGTTAATATGACGTAGTGACATCTTTAGATTTCCAAGTTGTATTCCGTCAAATATGACTAATATGTTAGGGTCAATTTCAAAATTGATCATAATTGCAAGATCAATTATGCAAAGAAATTTTATATTTGCGTATTTTTTTCTCATTATCTTTTTTTTACGTTGAAATATTTTTGTAATAACAAAACAATAGCAAATAATTGCTCATTTTGTTTGTATTTATTTTCACAGTAACAAAATGGAATCAACCGAAAGATCTTGGTTTCGCATTGGTCCACGAATTGGTGGCTTGATAATCGGCTATACATTTACATACATAGCCTCTTTTCAACTGATTTTCTCTCAATATCCGGATATTTTGTCCATTTTTTCTGGTAAGCAATTTCTACTTTTGTGAGTGTAGCGAACAGATGCCATTCTGAAAATAAATTTTCTTCGTTTTAAGTTGTTCTGCTGAGCTTAAGTGTCAGATGGAATTGTGGAATCATAAGCGTAAGTTAACAAATCGAAAAAAATATTGTTTTCTATTGAAAATGCAGTCAAAAATCAAAGTCAATTTTTATGTTCTTTTTTCAATAGAAAACACCTGAATTTCTCTGGACATTATTATGGTTTGTGAAATTAGTATTTGCTTTGGGCGCTGCAGTGTGCATCACGCTGATAATTATGGAATTCTTTGTATTGGCGGTATACCTTTTAAAACTTGAAAATGGTTTCGCCGATGCAGATGATATAATGAATATTTTGATTTTCTTGGGTCCAACCATGGGTTTGTTCAAACGAAAAATGTCAATTATGTAATATTTATTTTTGAAATTTCAACCATTTTTCTTTTCATTTCAGTTTTAATGTGGTATTTATCGTCATACATGGATTCCATATACACGTCAGTAAAAGAATTAGCTGACTCAAATGGGCATCCTCGCACAGTTGAACCACATTCAAGACTAATTCAAGAATATTTGGAAAAACTAAAAGAGCTGTCTGACAAAATCATAAACAAATCAAGCGAACTATTGGAAAAACCCTTTAAAAATTGGCACACAAATCAAGAAGATAAGAATGTCGACATTGAAAATTCCAACTTTTTAAATGGCGATTTTTGTGAAATTATCATCGATCCAAAAACAAATCAAATACTCGCAACAAAAGAATCAGAAGCATCCAAACAATAATTCACTGATGATTCTCATCAATTTAATGAATTATCTGGGCAGATGTTACAGAGTGTGTGGCGCAATTTGGATTATTAAAGCATATCAACAATTCAATAGAATTTTGACTGTATATTGTATAATATAACTACACACGGTTCGAAATCTACGTACACATCTATACGATTTTCAGTAGCAGCGCCGTAGCCAGACCGGCGCAATGGGTGCATTGCACCCTCCAAAAATTTCAAAGGTGCAACAAAATCGGATGCAAAATCGGGTTTCAAAGGTGCAACAAAAGAAAAATTTCGATTTTGCACCCTCCAATTTTTTTTCTGGCTACGGCGCTGTTCAGTAGAGTTGAGCGGTCTATACGATTTTACGTATAGTCTGACGTTTAGAAGCGGTTTTTGCGGAGAAACATACATTCTGTAGCGTTGACAGATGCGTAGTTAACTAATACAAGCGCGGAATATATGTTTCTCCACAAAAAACGCTTCTAAACGTCAGACTATACGTAAAATCGTATAGACCGCTCCACTCTACTGAAAATCGTATAGATGTGTGCGTAGATTTTGAACCGTGCATTTTTTTGATTTCATTGAATAAACTGGTTTATATACTTTGATCGCCAAACACAACAATTCGTAGAATCGCTAAATTTGACTACAGCCGACACTTTTTACATATTATTTATACTTGTGATGTATGCATACTGCGCACAACACAGGTCAGACTCAATGAAAACCATTTATACTCACACTTGGAGTTTGAGTGATAATTTGAGGTTCAGTGCGTATGATAATGTCTCCTAGCGTTGTCACTTGAGTAGAATTGATCTTCTCGATAGAGTGATAATTTGAAACTTAGCTTCTTTTAATCGCATAGGGCTCAATTCAATGAGAAGAATTCATGGATAAAGAAAAGGTAAATATTGGAACCATTGATGAAGTCAATGGAAATGTCCATAATTTAAGTTGAACCATCAACTTTAAACTACCAATCTTTACACAGAATATAGTGCATCTCCAACACATAGTATCTGTTACAATCCCTCAGCACAGTCGAGTAACATATAGACAGTGTGCGTGTCGAGAAGAACGAAATCACAAAGCACACAACTTATATGATGATCTCTCAAAAAATCAGAGCTTGCAACGGCTTTAATGCAAACAGGTCTTTGTATCGATCGATGTATAAATTGCATATTCACCTTTTCAGTCGGACATCCAATGTCATGCATGCGCTCATCACGTTTCGGTGAAGATTTCTCATTCGGTTTTTTTGCTCGCTTTAGCCGGTATTTTGCATGTAAACATCATGACTCATCATTGATATACCTACCACATGTCTACCGTATGATTTTAGAGCAGCAAAATGCCTTAGATTTTGCATCTCTGCAGATATTCAATAGGTATGTATGTATAGAATTATTTGTTATTATGGTCAGGTTTGTGTACAATCGATCGCACACATCACCACACACGTATTCTTTGATTTATAGCGAGCGCCTGTATGTGAGCATCAGTGCATCTCACGTGCGTGGATCGGTAAACTTGATATCAAACGCACTTCAGTCTTTCAACATCGCTTCAAAGCATAAACAAAAAAAAAGTCACCATTTTCAAATTGATCATAACAACTTGCGTGAATTTCACCTGAAAAATCGTGTAGAATCTATGGATTTTATCTGATTCGCGAAAAAACATTTTTTTTCATTTGCAATATTTCATTTCTTTCTATCTCAAACCAATTTGTGTTCGATTCCAAATAAAACGAGTGAAAATAAGCGCGTATCGATTGTTCTGTTTTACAATCCAAACGATTCATTCCCCATTGAATTTGCGGTGGCTTTTGCTGGTAAAGAATTTGCTACTATATTTTTTAAATTTTTCGGTGACAAAAAATATGGATTCACGGAGCTCATATCGTGAGTATTGATAACAAGAATTTGAAAGACAAAATATTGAAAGTATTTATATTATTTCTGCGGTTAGAAAAAATGAGGGTTCTTGGTGCCGAGCATAATCATGTTGATAGTGCTTTACATCGTGCTTATTGTTTTCCTGGGTTACTTGCCATTTGCGGCATTATTTTGGTACTTGGGCGTTCATGTGTTGTTTGGCGTAAATGTATTTTCGGACTGGCTATCCGATATTGGCATATATTCAATCATTCTGATGTGGATTATCATTGCCATCATTTCAGCTAGATGATTCTAACCTTTTTACTATGATTTTTTTAACGTTTCTAATCGTTATGTGGTTCAACACTTTCAGTGATTGGTTGGTTAGTCACGATCGTTAAATATTCATTCTGTCAACATATACGGGCCACAAAGCGTCAAAACAATGCTGATTATAATGCCGTTTGCATGCAGTAATTTAAAAATCCATCAAAAAAGTGTTCAATATATTTAGGTTTAACAGAAATATAAACATATCGTCAATTCGCTACACTGTTTGATTGTTGTGTTTTACTTTGCATTGCTTTGCATGTTTGGAAGAAGAGAGCAAGCATTATAACCGTCAATTTTCAAATACGGGCTTCCAGCAAAGGAGTAGCGATGCGGTTTTCGTGAGCAGAACGCAATGAAGAGGCAAAAATGAATACATAAATGAGCACAAAATTTGCACACCAACAGCGGATAAACATTTGGTTTATTGCCCAAGCATATGTGTTTATATTGTGTTTGTATGTATTGACCGGATTCTCGCGAATTATCGCTTTGTTATGCATTTGGTTTTTTTTTCACGTCTTGTTCTTCTCATGGTGTTATGCATTCGCACTGCGTTTAGCCGCCATAAAGGATGATGATATGAAGCAGACGCGTGAAGCAATATATTTCGCGTGAATAACTTGCTAAGAAAGCATTTCTCTGTATAAAACACAGAATTGATTTTACGAGTGTGTATGTTTATAGCTTCCGTTGGTTTGAAGGAGTCATAATGCAGCAAACACATAGAACGTATCGTAATCGCATCTTTCTTTCTAACATTAAGTATGTATGTACATATATATGCAACATGTTGCAAAATTTCAAAGCCCCCCTGCATTGGTTAGGAATTGCGTCTTACAACTCGATCACTTCAGTTTCAAACAGCGATCTGATCATACGTGCTAAGCAGTCGTCTTAGTGGAATAAAATTCTGCATCCTAACATTTCAATACTATTCCGATTTGAATTGTGTAAATCCATAAGTGAAGCAAAAATATTCTGCGAACATTTACGACATCAAAATCGTTTTCTTTAGCCAAATTTTGACTACAAGTACATTGCGACCGAAGTGATTTTTTTGGAATAATTAATCAACGCGAATACGTAGAACACGTAAATTGTGACCTCTCAAGAGTTGGTTTGATAAAAAGAAGACAACGAAACTTTCATGGGCGCTTTAAGCATTACAAGTTGTTGTTGCTTTGATTTGGATATTGGAGGCCTAATCATTGGTTACCTTGAATTGTTTATATACATAAACAACTCTTACAACGCGTTCTCTAATCCATTTTTCAGCCAGCCTGGTTGGACTTGTAAGTTGTTGTCTAGCAAAATTTCAATGATATTCATTCATCTCAAGCCGTTTATCTTACAGTTTTGCCGATATTGATCTGTGTCTGCTGGATCTATGGTGTTCATTCCGTTAGTGAATCACTTTTCATTCGTACTATTTTTAACTGACTGTTGTTAGCAAAAAAAAATCAACCTATTTAACATTTATCAATTTAATTTCTATTTCTACCCTTTTTCAGAGACGCATCGCCTTTATGATGCCAAGCCTTGTAGTATGGGCCATTGCTTTTATCATTTGCACGAGCCTTTTGATAATCTTTCCGTTTGTAGCATTGGCTTGCGACATCCAAATTCACGAGCATTTACCCGTTTTAATGGCCGACCATCTTACAAAGTATACTGGCGCTGTTTTCTTCGCTGCACTCACCATCTGGGCAATCATTTCAGGTTCGTATAATATATATTCCGGACATATATATATATGCAGATAGAGTTTCTAATTCGCACTTTTTTATCTTTTACATTTTTTTTTAGCAATCATATGGTTCATTACAGCCGTGAAATATTCACTGTACAAACAGATGCAAACAGCCATCTATGGTAGAAACGCTGATGTATACACCGAATGTATCAACGTTTCGGTTTAGTCACACATTTTGCTGCCTTCACAAATAATACTTTTACATATTTCTGGACATGCAGAATGCTTACTATAAACGGAGACTTTAAGCGCTCACATTTTTAGAACAAACCCAAAATTATGGAATAAACTGAAAATGAAGTAAAAAAAATTCGCCGGTTTTTTGTTTTTTCTCTTTATAAATATTCAAATGATCAATGGTTCAACTTGAAGTCTATCATTTCGAAATTTTCTGCAATATCTAGCTCACTAAATGGTTTTGGTAAGGAGAAAGCATAAAAATATCCTGAGGTAAATTTGTGTTTGAATGTCCATAATAATACATGGCTTTTTTGTCGTTCATTTCAACTTACAAACTAAATATCGTGTATTTCTTTCAATTTTCTAAAAAGAAAATTTAATTTTGTTCACTTGGTTTTTTCCCACAAATTTTACGTTGCCAATAGTGTTTTTTTCATTGAGATTTTTCTAAATAATTCTAATTATTTATACATGGTTTTCATTGTCATCGTCGATTGTGATTGCGTGTTGTTTGTATGTGCCAATCAAAATTGAGTGGAGTTTGAATTCGTCTTTGTTCTGATTCGATGGCTTTGCCGTATTCTCTCGTATTCGTTCGTTTATTTGAAATTTTAAACTCCACTTAATTTTGATTGGCACACACAAACAACACACAAACTTTCCAATCAATTGGCACTTTGAATATAAATGAAAATTACAAAAAAAGAGTGTGAAAATCGTAAATGAGTGCGAATTAAATCAAAATTAAAGATTGCTATCGATCCTTTTTTTCTTTTGAGGGCGTGAACTAAACGAAAGAAAAATTCAAAACCTCTTTTCCAACTAAGTAATTCAATCGCATTAACAGTTCCTGTAAATGGATTCGGTATGTGTGGTAACCGAATGAAAACACATTTGCACATGCACATTTTTTCCAGCTGCACTGTAATTGCTACAGCACAATCAAAAATCTCTTTAACAAATGAAAATTCCCATCTCTTGAATCAGATTTCTCCATTTTTGCCATTTAAATTATAAGAGAACTGAAATATTCCAGCCAGATGCTTGGCATTGCAGCACAAAGCATTTTCATTATTCCTATGGAAAATGGTTGAAATGAAAAGTCACAGTTGCATCATGGCTTATGTCATCAAAATCTGTTCTTTTTTTTTTAATTGATTAAAAAACAAACGCAAAAATATGCAAAAATGCATATTGTTTAAATTATAAGGTGCAAACTATCAACGATAAGCATAAACATGCTTATGCAAAACTCTGCACACAAGAATAAGATTCAGTTGCTTCAACAAACACATACACACGAAAAAATGGCAGAGAATGACGAAAACGAAGGGAAAAAAGAGCATAAAATCATCACAGAAGTGCTGAAATTTGGATTATTGTGTGTCGTTTTGCATGGATAATTGGTGATAGTGCTATGCTGTGTATTGCTGTTGCTGCTGTTGCTGCTGTCTTTGTCGGTTAAATAGCAACATACGTTGCAAATATCAATTTCATGTTGTTGATTTGACTTCCAAACTCTGTGCTCATTTTTACCAGATTGTTTTGAAGAGCGTTCCAGCCCGTACTATATAGTTCATTATCGCTTTGTATGCATTCACATACATGCTTATTGCATCTCTCTCTCTCACTCTCTTCGTTGCTCTTTGTGTTCAGGGGAATGGTTGACGCCTTTGAATTTTTTGATCGTTAAGAAAGTACAGGATTTGCAAGATAAGTTTAAGTTCGCATTAGGTGAAAAATGGCCGATATGAATTTCGAAGATTCTCTTGTTTTCGATGGCACCAAAATATTGTAATGCCTTTTCCTAATTTGGATTTTCTAACTAGTTTGGATTTTCCTAATTACCCTCTCGTTTGTACCTAAAGGTGTCAATAGGACAGATTTTGTCCGTCCGTCCTTTTGTGATTTTTTTTTCGGACGGACAATTTCATTTTGTCCGTCCGTTTAGAATTCAAGGACGGACAGTTTCATTTTGTCCGTCCGTTTAGAATTCCAGGACGGACAAAATGAAATTGTCCGTCCGTTTGGGATTTAGGACGGACGGACGGACATATTTTTAGGACGGACGGACAAAATATATCAAACGGACGGAAACGGACAATTTTTAAACGGACGGACAAAAATTTGTCCGTCCTATCAATGATTGGTGTCCAAGTTATCATTAGCAAAACTGGGACAAAATGAAGACGATGCGATTAGTTTTTTGTAAGTTGGAGTTGAGAATGTACGTATTATTTTTGATTGAAAAAAAAAATTGAATAAAAAACAAACAATGTTCATGTAAAAAACAGTGTTTATTCAGTTTTTTTCTGTGTATTCTCTTCCCAATTTTTTTCATTTTTTTGATTGAAAAAAAATTGAATAAAAACCAAACAATGTTCATTTAAAAACAGTGTCTATATTTTAATTGATGCTATACCCGTATTGCTTTCATTTTGATTGACGTCAGGTCCTTCATTCGTCAAGTCGTTATAATTTACATCGATATAGGATTCGATTTCGCTATAATTTGCAAAAATTAGTTTTTTATTAGCATAAATTCGTAGCAGTTTTAAACACAAGCTTCGTATGTATTCAGTACTTCAAATGAAAAAAAAAAACAATAATATTTGTGTAATGGAAATTTCTCGTTCATCCTGAAATTGAATATAATGGATCTTTACGTGTGCTATTGTTTTTAAGTGTGCAACAAAATGAGTGGAAGTTCAACTGTGGAACACCGGTCAAGACTCATTGGTTTCCACGGTATTGTGAGCGTTTCGTGACTTGGCGCATCGAGATAAATTTTCTATTGCATCAAATCAAATATTTAATTTTTCCCTCTTCTTTTTCTATTCGATCACTGTGGTTCATTTTTTCTCATTCTTTCATGAGCAATCGTATGGTCTCCTAATGTGATAACTTGGACACCAATCATTGATAGGACGGACAAATTTTTGTCCGTCCGTTTAAAAATTGTCCGTTTCCGTCCGTTTGATATATTTTGTCCGTCCGTCCTAAAAATATGTCCGTCCGTCCGTCCTAAATCCCAAACGGACGGACAATCTCATTTTGTCCGTCCGTCCTAAATCCCAAACGGACGGACAATCTCATTTTGTCCGTCCTGGAATTCTAAACGGACGGACAAAATGAAATTGTCCGTCCTGAAATTCGAAACGGACGGACAATTTCATTTTGTCCGTCCTTGAATTCTAAACGGACGGACAAAATGAAATTGTCCGTCCTTGAATTCTAAACGGACGGACAAAATGAAATGTCCGTCCTTGAACCCCAAAACGGACGGACGGACACGAAATGCCCGTCCGCTGTCCGTCCTATTGACACCTTTATTTGTACCTGATTTAATGATCTTCTCTAACTTCATGTCGAGACATTGCCAAACAAATACGGACTTCAGGTCGTGTATCTGGAGAATATAGTCAGTGGTTTTTTGGAGCTCAACATCAGAACAATAGCAAACGGTGAACTCTTTTCGAAACTACTGAAACGTGAAAAATTCAAGGTAATTCAGTGTATATATTTCATCTCAGTAAAGGTCTGAATTCAGGCGTTCGCCCAAATTTGCAGCATTTAAGAAAATAATAAGTTTCTATCGGAATAAGTTTTTTTTCTATTGTGTTAAAATTGCATTTTTGATTTTTGTGGATAACTTTTATTTTCCCCATTCAAAAGGTATCGAAATCTACTTATGAAAAGATGATACTAACAGATTTGAATATCGATTGCCTCGAAGGAATCCTGGAATATTTGAATTTGGTTGATCTTATTCAAGTAGCTGATTCGAATGAACGACTACGTCAAGTTTCGAAATTGGTCTTCGTTCGAAGATACAGTCGCTATCAATTTAGCTGCAACGACAGGCGTTTGAGTTCTAATGGATTCAGAATTTGGCCGTGTATAGGCTTCGGCCCGTCTATAGGCATAAGCGGTTTAAAATACAATTTACAAACACTACGTATCTTCGGGTCTTTAATAAAACGAATATCTTATTCGGCTGTAACAGGATGCCACATCACTGACTACGTAAATGATTTCTGTGTTGAAACCCTTATCGATATTGAATTGGGCGTACATGAAGAAAATGTACTTGATGGTTTTAAAAAATCATTCATAAGGGCAAAATCTGTTGATATTGTGACGTCCCATACAGCCCAGAAGAATACCTTGGTACGATTATTTCCAAGAATGGAGATGTTCAGATTGACAATGCTTCGTTTCGATTCACCATTTATCCACAGTGGATGTATTGCCAATCATTTTCCCCATTTGAAGGACTTAACAATTAAAACTTGTAACTCAGCTAATTACGAAAAAGACAATGAATCTGTCGAAGCCATCAAAGCCCTTTTGAGATTTAATCCACAAGTGAAGCATCTGTTTATGCAATGCGGAAATCAAGCCAATTTCGATATTCTTCAAAGCCTTGTTGGACGTGAACCTAATCTAGAAAATCTCATATTGGTTGAAGCTGGTGCATTTTTTAACCTCCCCAATGAAGAAAAAATATATTTAAGCAACGTAAAATTGTTTTATATTTATGCATTGTTAAAAAAACTTACGAAAATCCCATTTATATTTGATCAGCTGGAAATATTTAAAATCGAAACATTATGTTATGCATTAAATGAACGCGTCTATGAATTCATTCAAAATAATTCTTCGATTAGAATATTGTATATTAGTTGTAGAGGCCCAGTAGATTATTCACGTATGGCTCAATCTTTGCCGCTATTGGAAAAATTTACCCTTTTACCTACTATACTCTTCGATGGTCAACTGTCTGTTGATCAAGCCTCGATTTCATGTATTACTTTACATTAAAGCCGTCAAATGACTGCTGCTATCGACGTCTCACTGCGACAACGTTAACTACAGTATACACCGTGCACTTCTTCTTCTTCTTCTTAACTTATGCCACTTTTTTCTGTTGTGAGTATGAAGCTTACGTTGTCGCAGTGAGATGTCGCTTCAGCACCATATGGAAAAAGGAATCAAGACTCGCTGTTGATATAGCATTTCATGTCACAACTCTGTTCAAATATCTCAAGTGTTTTCATTTTTCATGCCATAAGAACTTCGAATATGAACAACTACAGCAACGTCTAAATGATAGCTGGTCAATGGAGT